GACCCTTGTATTACTTTTTTACACTTTTTGGCCCAACAGATAAAACTTTATTGATATTTATAGAAAAAAAAACTAAAAAAAATGGAAAATTAAAATGTCCATAAACAGCTCAAAAAGAGTCAAAATATTTTCAAAATTGTATGGTGTATAGAAAATGCTAATTTAAACATTCAGTGAAATTTTCATGTATCTACAGTTGTTCGTTTTTGAATTGCAACAAAATAAGGAAATCGCTACATGAGTAATCGAGTGAAAATCCAAAGTTGTAAAAATTTGAATTTCAAACGCTCATAAAAATTTAATTTGACTGTCCGGTAAAGATTTTTTTATTGATAAAGGTAGATAATCTTATAAGGAATCTTGTGTTTCATTTTCAAATCTTAGATTTAAAAAGAAAAATTTTTACGAATTCTCTACTCAAAATAATTTGCTAATTTTCGTGATTTTTCCATATTTTGTCAATTTTTGAACTTTAAATACTTATAAAAAAAAATTGTGACTAAGGATTTTTAATATTTTTCATCTGCCTTTGAAACAATATATTAGGAGCCTTCTATTAAATTTTCAAGCTTTCGCAACCAACAAATAAAATTTTATTGATATTTTTAGAAAAAAAACTAAAAAAAATGGAAAATTAAAATGTCCCTAAACAGTTCAAAATAAATCAAAATATTTTGAAAATGTTATCGTGTATAGAAAATGCAAATATAAACAACCAGTGAAAATTTCATGTATATACGTTCATTTGTTTTAGAGTTACACCAATAACCAAAATCGATTTTTTGGAAAACCAATTTTGCTTAAAAATTCCCGTTTTTCCTTAATTTTTCTTTTGTTTTTCCCGGCGCTTGTGAAAACTACTGGGAAATTTAAATTTTGACCTCCTCAATGCACCAACGATATTCACTTTCCAATCGAACAAGATACTGAAGTTGATAATCGGAGCATTATTTCGACTACTTATCGTGTCCACAGACACTAAAATAAAAAATAAAAAAACACACATCATTGTAAAATCAATACATTCATCGTTCCACTCAGAATCTAAAAATTAAATCATTACCTATTAATTTGGTCCTGTATTTTTATTTTTAAATAAGGTCACCTTATATTAGACTATAAATATTCTGAATTTAATCAGGGAGGAACATTATTGTAATATAAATATTACGAATTGCTATATGTGGGATGTCGGACCAATGACTAATGAGCGAGAAGGTCGTATTTACGTCGTATTAATTAGTTAATAGGTCTGGTATTTCCCTAGGTATGTGTTTTATTTGAATGTGCCGCCCCGTACGATATTCAAACGGCAGTCCATAGGCATAGACCTATAAAGTATAAACTTGTGGACAGGCGAGGACAGCGCTTCCGAGTTCCGTCCGCCCTGCCATTGGTTAATCTTGACGACATGACTGAGAGAGAAAACATAATATATATATGAGCATATGAGAGAGAAAAATGTTTTGGGCTTTATGTTTTAGCACACTGTAAAGGCTCAAAACCTCTCTTTTCTCCTCAACAATCCTGGTAATCGTTTCTCTATCCTCAAATGCTCTGTCCATTTATAGGTCTGTTCGACTATGCCACGAATTAAGATATATCTTAATTCGTGGTCTAAGCCCATTGGCCACCGGATGCCAAAATGACAGGCTGGCGTGAGACAGTCGTGAAATAAGTAGGTACCTAATAAGTAATAACGAATAACGTGATATGCAAACTCCACGATAACGCGATAACTGATTTTCATTTCTTCGTAAAATCTAGAAGTCAATTAGTTTTACCTAAGTTTTACCAAAACTCACAAACAGACTCATCAAATCGTACGGTACCTACCTACCATACTCGCAAATAGGGGGATTTGTGGGCCAAGGGGTCTCCTATTATGACGGTTATCTACCGTCCTCCCTATTCAATTTTATAATAGTAGGGCTTCAGGCTTCAGCCTCCCTAAATCTCAAACGTTATTTCTGCCCATGCTACCTACCCAAACATAATTTAAGACCACTATACAAAAAACATGCAAATACAAGGAGTCTCAAAGTCCAAAGCCAACATAATACCTACGTGTTATACTGTTATGACATTTATGAATTAATAATTATATTAGTCCATTCTTGTGGGGGGTCGAGACCCAGCCCCCCTCTCCGTAAATACCCCGCTGTTTTGATATAAGTGACGACGCTAATATGAATCAGATACCAGAATAGGGTTGAAATGTTTTTAAACAATTAACTTCCTCTTTGTCTACCAGTCAAACCATTTACACCATACTCTGTTCACAGTAAGTTGACCCACTATTTTTTTTTTTTTTTTTTTGAGCATGCGGCTTATAGCTCTATTATGGTAAAAACGTTGAGACAATACGATTAAAACATCAGTAGCTCTTTCCTGACTACGCTGATAACAAAGCGATAATTTCTATCAACAATGATCTTTTTACTGGCTGCCTCAACAAATCTTCAAAATCACCTTGTCTTGGTGTCTCCACACTGACTACACTTGATCATATTATTGTATAGTGTTAATGATCTTACCACCATAGTCCAGACTTCATGGCTGGGGAGGCCAGTTATAAAATTCAAATTTTCTACTCACTACAGCGAATAGCGATCTATTTGTGACTTATTTTTGTTGTATGAAAATTATGTAGCATTATATATATATTTTAACATTATTTAAAATTATATTATGACACAGTGACGAAGAGGACCAAGAATTTAAATTGATATATTATTCAGTAAAATATGGGGCATAACTTTTTATAAATGTAAGAGAGTCAAAATCATAATACAGAAATAACTAAATTTATATCCAACCTCCATAATAATTCTTTAGCGTTTTCAAAATGTCTTTAAACTTCTTTTATCATTAAACTATGGGATACAGAACGCTTTTTTGTATGATGTAACGAAATGGATGAGTTCAAATTTTTAATTATTCTTCAGTTATAGGTATTTAATTATTTTTAGTTTTTACTTATTTCATTGTGGTAATTAGTTAATAATATTATACTATTTAGTATTTTATATACCTACATATTATATAGGTGCCTTAGTAACGTACATTATACATGTATACATCGATATAACATTTTGAAAAAAAATATGACAAAAAGTCTCCTTACGATAGTTGTAGGTATATCCAGGGCCTCCACAAAGGGGGAACTGTTGGACCTGGAGTACAGGGGCCCGGCTATTTGTAATTTCTTAAATTTTAAAACTTTGATAGGAATATGTACTTATTTTATATTAAATTACATTTTATGATATAGGTAGGTAAATGTATATGTATATTTTAATATATTAAGTAAAAATAGTGTATGGGACACTCCCATGGCTTGTAAAAAGTTGTATTTTATTGGAAAATTTGTATAGGGCAGTGGCGTCCGCAGGGGGGAGGCTAACGGGCTGAAGCCTCCATTGCCCGTATTATTATTACTTTTCAAAAAAATATTAATCAAGTTTAAACTGTCAAGTATAATAAATCTCATATACGTCTTACCAGAATGAATTCATTTTTGAAAAAACATTGTATTTGCACACCAATTTTCATAAACTATCTGTAATTTTTCGGTAAAAATATGAACTACTTATGGGTATGAAAGACCTTGTATTAAATTGTCTAGCCTTAGATATACACATTTTATATTTTATTAGTTTTGAACTACAAATTAACCGTGGTTTTGACGAAATTTGAACTTTAAATGCTTATAAAAAATAACCATGATGCCTATGTATTGTTAATATTTTAGCTATAATAAAAAAACTTACGAACTACATTTTTAAGCTTTTTGACCTGATGAATAATTTTTTATTGACATTTATAGAAAAAAAATTTTAATTAATCAAATACAATCCAAGTTATTAAGACGGTATAACCAAGCTTGCTACCAAACAATTTAAATAAATTTTCATTTTTTTTCTCCAATTATTTTTAAAAATACTAAGAATTTTCAATTTCGACCTCCTAAAAGTACTCACTAGATCCAATTTGCTTCCAAAAACATACACTGGGCATCGAAGCTTATGATCAGAGCATTTTTTCTACCAGAAGAGTTTAAAAGTTACAAACATTTTAAAATACCATAAATAAACGTCTGCAATTATTAGACTGGACAAAATTAAAATTAAATTGTAACTAATTTTCAAGCCCACCCCATTGAAAAATCCTGCGGACGCCACTGGTATAGGGCCCACCAAAACATTTAATACAAGGGCCCAAAACTTGATGTGGGGGGCCTGGGTATATCTACCAACTACCTAGCGGGTTCAAAATTCACGATATTCAATGTAGAGAAGAAAATATCAATTTGTTAAAATGTAATTTATTTTTGGTAGGTACCTATCATGAAAGATTTTCATTTTTAGAAATTATTTTTTGATTTTATGTATCATATAATTGTGTAATATACCTACTGTATACCTACTATGTATACTACATGTATCATTGTACATTATTACCTACAAATTATAATCTATTTTTATAGTCTTTTCATTAGTATACACTTATAAAATAGGGGCTACCTGACTGTCTGTTTCAACCATGGATACTATATAATAATATAATCTTTATCTATATCCATGGTTTCACTATTATAAACCAAGAACGTCTCTGGGAATCACCGGATCTTCTTCTCGGGAGTCGGGGTCCTTTGCGGCTCCGCGGGCTTCCGGTCCCCGACCAATTTCGCCCGCATTTCGTGGTCGGCCGCGTTCTGCGCGCCCACCACTTCACCGAACTCCCTGTAGTTGGCGTTGATCAGCTCGCTGCTTTCCAATCACACGTCGGTGAACGGCATGCTCTCTCCGTACAGGTGGACGTGGCGCGATTGGACCGTGGTCGCGTCGTCGTCCAAAACCGGTATGAACCGCGATGGTATGAACAGGCCGGCCGCTTGCCGGCCCTCGCTGATGATGAAGTTGTACGTGGCCAGCGCCGCGTTCACCGGCAGCACCTCGACGGTGCACCCGTACTGTCTTGCTGCGGCCCACATCACCTTATTCAACTGTCGCCGGTTCAGGTACAGCTGGCGGTGATTGCCGTCGAGGCATTTCCGCTGCGGCCCCTTCGCCCAGGCCCAGCACGATGACGGCGGGCGCGGGTTCCAGGTGGAACAGCATCGACAGCGAGTCGACGCCCACGTCCCGGTCATCGTTCACCCGCCAGGCCATTATCGAGTTGGCGAAGCACACGACCGGCCAGAGCACCACGAACCCGTTGTTCAACCGGAAGCCGTACTGGCTATAAGCGGAAATCATGATGCCGTCCCTTATGTTGTTGTTGTTCAACATGGACACGTACGTCTTGCCGTCGTTCTCGTACGCGCCGACGGACCGGCGAGACTGCTGTTGCGGCGGCGGCGGAGCGAGACCGGAGCCGAAGATCCGCGAACGGGACAGCAGCAGCTTCCGGGCGACGTTACTCAACGACATGGCAGTCGATCGATCGCGAAACGATAGGAGAGGGGAAATAAAAAACGATAAAAATTATAGACAAACAATGATCGTACCTTCCATCGCCCGGTAACGATTAGTGGTTACTTGATCATTAATTATAAGTATTACTCTTATTTATAGGTTAATCAGTTATATTAGACAATTATAGTATAGTGCAAAATGACATAGTATAATATAATAATATATGGTATATATTATAATATATACAATATCTTAAGATTTACTTCAACAGTCCTTGTAAGGTACCCATGCCCGTATGGTGGCACTTCAAATGAAATGGTTTTCTCTGCAAGTGTTTCTTTTGGTTCGTCATCTTCTTCCAAATCCTGAAGGAATTGTGTAGGTGTTGGTAATACACTGATAAATCAAAAATTAATATGCATTTATAAATTAATAAGCTACAACTGATTATTGAGAAGTAAGCTTGAGTTTTGCTCACGAATCAAGATATACTTAGGTATGGTATCTTAATTTGTGGTTTTGCTTACCTAAATAGAAACATTATGTTGTCCAATATTTTGTAAAATTAAATTAATTAATATGGCAAGATTAACAAATAAATTAAGAACAAATCAAAGCCTTGAACCTCAAGACTCAAGCGAACCATGATATAACCACATTATAATTATTTAAATGCATGGGCGTCCATTGGGCAAGACAGGGCACTTCCCCCCCCCCCAAAAAAAAAATATTATGAACTGACGCGGACACGATGATTGCTTCAAGGTTGATCGTGGTCCGGTCGAAGTGTTCGGTTAGGATTGAGGTGATGAAAAAAAACACAACACAAACACTTTAAGAATGTCACAAATTATGTATTATAATATTGCGACCAAAATATAATAATACATGACGTGCCGCTCGGGCAGATGAGTTTAACGTCGGACGATATGTTATCGGTCCGACGGTCCGATGGTGGATCTCGAATCGCCTTTTCCGCCGACCGTTGTACGTCTTACGCGACACAGTCCCCCCGTCCCGCCTTGCCGTTACCGGCTCGGTGGGAGAGTCAACCTGGTCGCGCTGCTTGCATCCCGTGGTGGTGGTTGGAGATAAGATAGACTGGTCGCTATAGTGCTTGTACATTGTACTTGCTACTAACGCGGGCCGTGTCAGAACTTGTAGCTCAATAAATATTACCACAATATTACCTTATTACCGAGGCAAATTATTGTTGAAATCACTTTTAAGATATAAAATAAGTATAAAAATATCCTCATTGTTATCGTATATTAACATCATAGATAGGTCGTAGTCTGCAGTCCGAATAGGTACCTATACGTAAAATTATTTATCACAGATAATTTTTGGTGAATCCATAAAGATCACAATATATGTACTTACTACAAATATTTTATCAGAAAACATTGACTGCATTTTAGTCGTCCACTTTCTGTGTGGCATTAATGCATTATATTTAGTGCTGACTGCTGAGTGTCATTAGTGATTATTCAATATTATTTTTTAAAATTTTCAATTTTTACAATGGATATTCGATTGTTTTTAATTAAAAAAAATCTGATGAAGATAATGCATCTGCTGTGCTTGAGCCACACGAATCGAAAAATACAAGTGTTTCTACTCAAGTAAATTCAAACCTGGAATGTTCTACGTAAATAAATACGGTACCTACATTAACTATTAATTATACTCCAAATGATTGTGAGTCATATCCAGATTTAGGATTTTATATTAATAAATCAATTTATCAGATGAACTTAAATATAAATTAGGTACTAACAAAACCATATGTTCCTTTTGATAATTATGATTTTAAGAATGCCAGTATTGCACAAAAAATTAGTTTTAAAATAGAATGGCTTTAAAAATATCGATGGTTAGTTTATTCTAGACATTTAAAAGGCGGCTTATGCAAACCTTGTGTTGTTTTTCGTCCTGTCGTTAAAAGATTATTATTAGGAGCGTTTATTGTTAGTGAATTTACCAAGTAGGTATAAAGATTTTCATTTTCACTCAAAAAAACATAGAGATTCGGTTTCTCAATCAACAGATTTTTTAAAAATTATGCCCAACAAAGAAAAAAGTGTTATAGATCAATTAAATACTGCTCAACACTTACAAATTGAACAAAATAGAAAACAGCTAGTCATATGTGAAAAATAACATTAAATCTTTATTATCTTACATTCGAAATTTTTTTTATTTTGATCCCCCCGCAAAATGTTACCTATGGGCGCACATGGTTAAATATATTATGTTTGTATCATGAAGCGAACAGAATATCTTTTCTATGACAGTATCTCGTTAATTTGAACATTTAAGTCCTGTACACAGTACATGAATCTTATGTTTAAACGTGACACAAATTAAGATGTTACAGGTATTATAATATGATTTATAAGATGTGGGTATATCATAATTTGTGGTCTAAACTATTATTAAAAAATAATATTAAATATTAAATACTTTAATACTTATTGTAGATTCGTAGGTTAGGCACAAAATCTATAGTATATTTTGTCAATTAACTACTAAGCTACTGCAAAAACTAAAAAGTAACAACTAAATGTCTAAATCATTCAAAAATAGTATTCAGTATTCAGTGGCGTGGCGAGCATCTTTCAAACCCTAAGCAAATTAATATTGTAATGACCCACCCACTTCCACCCCCCCCCCCATACTTCAAACTAAATATAATTTTCTATATGCTAATTTTGAATTTTTGTTATAGGAAGTCATCAAACATTTATTATAAATAATACTTTAATAATTAATTAATTATTTAATTATACCTAAAATAGTAATAGTATAATTAAAAAGGTGGGCAAGTGGGTGTCGCTCTGCTGTACAGTAGGGTACAAGTGGGTCACTGGATAATGGATGATATTAAATTTGAATTCAACGATATAATATCATTGTATAAGATAAACGATTCTGAGCGGAGACGGTATGTCAGTCTAGGACCTAGGTATAAGACATATTATATACATATCTATGGTACTAAACCAACATTTGACCTATAATAGGTACCTATAAAATTAATCATATCACAATTTCCATTAGGTACTTATAACGCGTTATACATCAACAACAAACAATGATACTATCATAGATATATAATAGTACACTTTAGAAGTTTCAAGTACCCACGAATAATATTATTCAATCACAACAAAATAACTAAAATAGTTATTCTAGGTTTTTTAATATGTAATACGATCTTTAAATGCTTATAAAAATAACTGTGCCTATGTATTTTTAATATTTTTCAACTGATATTGTAACAATATATCAAGAGCCTTGTATTACATTTTTACACATTTTGGCCCAACAGATAAAACTTAATTGATATTTATAGAAAAAAAAACTAAAAAAAATTGAAAGCGGTAAATGTCCGTAAATAGCTCAAAAAAAAGTCAAAATATTTTCAAAATTGTACAGTGTATAGGAAATGCTAATATGAACATTCAGTGAAATTTTCATGTATCTACAGTTATTCGTTTTTTAATTGCAACTAAATAAGGAAATCGCTACATGAGAAATCGAGTGAAAATCCAAAGTTGTAAAAATTTGAATTTCAAACGCTCATAAAAATTTAACTTGACTGTCCGGTAGAGATTTTTTTATTGATAATCTTATAAGGAATCTTGTGTTTCATTTTCAAATCTTAGATTTAAAAAGAAAAAATTTTACGAATTCTTAACTCAAAATAATTTGCTAATTTTCGTGATTTTTCCATATTTTGTCAATTTTTGAACTTTAAATTCTTATTAAAAGAAACAGTGCCTCGTCAATGTTCAGTGATTTCGTGCTCGAGTATTAAAAGAAAACATTGCGAAAATAATAATGTTTTTTTATTAACAATTGATGACTTTTTCAATAATAATAAATCTATTGATTTCCCTTGTAAAATACACAAGAAAGAAGTCCTGTCACACATAGTTTCAAATTTCATAATTATGAGGATGAGACAGTATTCCCTAATTAGTAATAAAAATAAACATAAAATGAATGCAAAAAAAAAGGTGCTCTACTGTACAGTAGGTTACAAGTGAGTCACTGTATAATGGATGGTGTTACATTTGAATTCAATGATATTATATAATTGTATAAGAAAAACGATTCTGAGCGGAGACGGTATGTCCTTTTTCTAGGTGTAAGACATATTATATACTTATCAATGGTATTAAAAAAAATTTACCTATAATGAATTCCAAATTAATCATATCACCATATCCATTAGGTACTTATAACGCGTTATACACCAACAAAAAACCCTGATACTGTCATAGATATATAGTAGTATACTTCAGAAGTTTCAAGTACCCATGAAAAATATTATACAATCACAACAAAATAACTAAAATAGTTATTCTAGGTTTTTTATTATGTAATTTCGTCCAAATTTGAACTTAAAATGACTATAAAATAAAATTTGTTTATGTATTTTTTAGATAGATGGTAACAGAATTGACTGCATAAGTGGAATCTTGTTTTAAATTTTCTATCCTTAGATATAAAAGTTGAACATTTTATAAATTTTTAACTAAAAAATAATTATTCAATTTTAAATTTGATAAATATTGTCAAAATTCGATCTTTAAATGCTTATAAAAAAAAAATTGTGCCTATGTATTTTTAATATTTTTCAACTGATTTTGTAACAATATATCAGGAGCCTTGTATTAAATTTTCACACTTTTTGGCCCAACAGATAAAACTTAATTGATATTTATAGAAAAAAAAAACTAAAAAAATTGAAAACTGTAATTGTCCGTAAACAGTTTAAAAAGAGTCAAAATATTTTCAAAATTGTATGGTGTATAGGAAATGCTAATTTAAACATTCAGTGAAATTTTCATGTATCTACAGTTATTCGTTTTTGAATTACAACAAAATAAGGAAATCGCTACATGAGAAATCGCGTGAATATCCAATGTAAAAATTTGAATTTCAAACGCTCGTAAAAATGTAATTTGACTTTCTTATAGACATTTTTTTTTTAATAAAGGTAG